GATTGTGGGATGAAAGGAATTACCAGCAGATGATGATTTACCCTTGAATAACACACACATCTTTTGTACCTACTGCTTCATAAACCAACATGCATCGACTGACTTACTTTAGGGAGAGATATTGAGCCTTATATATCTTCATGGATAATAAAGGGAGAAGATTAAATGTAGAATCATATGTTAATGGGTCAACAGATTGTTGTAATGGATTACATAGCTGGTCTCTGTGGTACAACTATCACTTGATGTAAGATGTCAACAGAAGATGAACCCTGATGTCAGATTGAGTACTACTTTAACCCATAATAATAAGGCAGCATTGATAAGTGATGTGTAAGTGTTTATCAGAAACAGGCAATGGTGATCATCAAGCATTTCATTAGTGAAGACTAATGTTGGGAAACATCCTCCTATTCTTTTAATAGGGTGCATTGGGCGAAATGATAAAGGGTCTATCTAGTTAGAACGTATTGTCTATAATACAGAAGACAATATCATCAAAAGGAGATGATAAAGTCTCACCTTTAGGTGTCCCCCTCTTGAAACCTATAGCTTATTGGATAAGAACTTCACACATTTTATATGTGCAAAGGTTGTACCTAACAATAAAACTTCCCGTCAAGTATTCAGAAAACCACTTTGCTTTTATTCTTATATTCAAGAGGGTATTCACTCTAGCACTATACTTTCAATATAGCACAGATACACGCATTTAATGTTTCTTTAGTTTGGCAAATAAGGGTCGCCAACAACTTTGGTCGTTCACTCTCGACAATATTGATATAATGACTCTTCTTTATTTGCATGGGTAGAGATCTATTGACAGATTAACACTGAATGACCTTGAATCAGACTAGGCCAACTGCTGGCTATTGAGCCCTCCTTGTTCACCATATACTTAGGGTGACAATAAGACAGACAGACAAGATCCTCGGATCAAACCATTATTACACTTGAATGATTTGTGACTACAGTTAAGCCATAGTCGATATGATATATAGACTTTGAGATAATTTGATGCGAGTACCAGGTAATGGGGATACAGTTGAAGTGGTCTCTATCAGCTATGCAAGTTCAGGGAGCAATAGGCTAGACTGAACTCTATAGTTCGTCTTTTATCACCGAATGAGGATAAGGATGAGAGGGTGCCTGATGAAAAGTATACTTAGAAGCTTCATAAGTTTAGACTGGGTAATTGAGGATTCATTTGTGAACTCATCTTGGCCTCATTATAGATATTGTCTAGCCAACAGTTAGACGTACCTCAACATAACCAAAGTAACTTACATTATCTGCTCTCATAGACTGGATATGCACACATCCATTGAAACATTAAGACATATGGATCTCGAACATATTCAAACAAGAGAGGCTCTCTATTTTAAACCCTGCACATGAAGGTATTGATTTAGACACGTGTCTAACTATGATGTAAAGTCTTATCGATATACAGTGTAGATATTATGATTGGGACGATACGTTGTCACCACTGAAACTTGAGTTACGGTTCCTGACACTTGTAGAAGTACTTAACATGGCTATATGCATCTCCATCAGATCTAATGACGTCTTAACAGTGAACAATTTACGCCTGATTGTAAACATCGTCTTGATCTTCTTAAAGGTATGTCTTTGATGGAACAGTATAGACTGCTTGAGAATAGTTTGAGCTGTTGGATAGTGGCACAGATATACAGACATCACCTGTCCTGTTGACTTCCAGCCATCAGTAGGGAAATAGATATCCATAATTTATAATACACACAATTTCTGTGTGATTATACAGTTCAGATCAGATTCCATATACTGTCTACACTATTAGGAGATTGTTTTGGTTAAATAGATAGATTGGTGATTGGTTATCATCTATGATGTACTCTCTTAACTAGAGGATAACCAAGAGTACATATCTTAATTTGAAATAGCATTTAACAAAGCCTATCAATCGGTGACATTCAATCTTTATTAGATATTACCACTAGTCGATATTCTAATCAGGTGTATGTGTAGCTTGAATTGTGCTGTATTCCATAGGGTTGTTTATTCCTTTTAAAAGCTTATTCCGACAGTCATTGATATATAACAGGATGAAATTTCCAGTGTTATCCTGAGCTATCTACACAAGATGAAGTGTTATTATGATCCATATGAAATATGATATTCCGGGCATATTTAAAATGGGAAAGTTGCGATACTTCAATCCGAACAAGTCAATTTAAATGCTATAATGACTGAAGTATTCCTAGATCTGCCTCGATCTTTATTATTTTACAATCCACACATTCCATACACACATATATATATGTTTGTATAGACATATATCTGTAACAGAGAGTCATATACCATGCACCTATTATCACCATTAGATTGAACAATTAGTCTCTATACGCATAAATGGAGTAGACCTTCACCAGTGGGAAAGGTTGATCAAGAATGCTTCGTTATTCCTTTGACTATCTAATTTCAATTCAAGCATCAATAGGCAACTTTGTCTTATTTGTAGTAACATAGACATTTTCCAGAAAAGCGAAGCATTTTGAGCATTACTATAAAATGCCTGAACTTATTGAATCCTTACAAGATATCCATACCCTCTTTCTTCGGATACTATCTATCTATACCAAAAATAAAATTGATCTCTCTATCTGTTGTTGCCGCCATGGTTTCTGCTGTTCTGGCAGTGCCTAATCATATGGAGTAAATAACACTCATTGCTGAATAATGCCTTGATTGATTTGATTGACTTACATATTGTTCAATAGTTTGGCTAAACGTACTATCCATACCACTGAAACTGTCATTGAACAGGGCTCCACTATTGTCAAGGTTCTTGATGGTATTGTCTCTACTACTACCACCACTAGTACCACTACAGTCGAATCAACCTCCACCTCCACTAGTGTCAGCTTCATCTGTAAGTATTATTATATATCAGTTGGAAGAAATGATATTAACTCCATCTATAAACAGTTACCTACAGTGGTGATGAGAGCACTATTGTCAGCAGACTTTCTTCTGCCCTGTCACAAATTCTCATTGGAAGTGGTATTCCTGAAGAAACCAGTACCATCACGGTTGATGCCACCACTGAAGCTACTACAGATACTACCACAACATCTTCCACAGAAACTACCACTGAGATTAGTCCTGGTCTATATACACTACTTGATTTATATAACTTAATATGGCTACCCACTTTAAATAGATTGAACGATCACATTGAGTTTTTATATAATAATGTATTGGATTTAATGGCACGGAATACTATGAATATCAGCAATTAAAGGGATGAATAAGTAAATTAACAAAAATAGATGAAAACGAGATATGTGAATGATGTAGGTATGGCTAGTTTTTATCAATGCCCATTGATATATATATTTGTAAATGGCATCTGCTTGAAGTCAAAAACCAATAATTATCAGTCAAGACATGTTTGATACATAGTATCGTCAACTACTCGTTATATAGAATATCATGTGATACAACTTATCCAACAACACAACAACCTTATTCCCATCTATCAGGTTAGCACAGCTTTTGATTTTCCTACTATTTCTGTCTCCACCAAAGCACACGTCCACTGAAGGTCATTCCAGTCAATCACCTATCCACAGTACATACAAGAAAGTTGGAATTCTATTCCCATAATCTCTAAAAATTATCAAGGTGTTAAAAGATTGAGAAAAATCTTCATTGTTGTTGTATACGAGTATACAAACGTAATAAAATAGTAAGGAACGATAAAAGTAATCAGACCAAGAGTAAGATGATTCTTTATTAATTAAGAAAACAACAAGACTATTTATAAGAGATACGGCTAAACTATCGTTGAATGTTAAACTATGATCCATGTTATATGACTCGTTCAATTTAGTGAACCTATTAGATGTAGTTATGAGTAAACGTTTATAGGGATAAACGATAACTAAAGAGGATTATCCGGATATGACATTATTAAGATAGATCAGAACTGCTCTTAAATAGATCGCCTCTATTGGGTATTCCTGATATTCGGTACTGAATAATTCAAGGAACGTCAATGTTAAGCCGATGTACAATAATATTTAAGTACATAATGAATCATCCTAACGAGATCATATGAAGAATCCAGTTGATAGGCCATTGTCGATTAGGAAGATAAAACCAATAAGACATGGGTGGATAGTGTCTAGAGTGGTGGACACTACTAGGTATTATACAACAATTGTGCAGGGAGACAGAGGAAATATTTAAAGAGGATGCTAACTTTTTAATATATAAGAAAATACTCTCCACTATATAATAGATTTTGTCGCCTACATTTTCAGGTTATACAAATACAGCTTATTAAGAAACGACATGATAATTATTATCAATCAAAAAAACACCTGAAATATTATAAATCACAGAACATAAATTGATTATAAAGCAACTAACATAAACACTCCATACATTATCTGACTAAGAAGCTGTCATGCCTCTTATTATTAATCACATCTTAACCCTTTGTAAAAACATATAAATACCCATTATCTTTTATTCAATAAACATCATCTATTTTACCTATCACTTAAATAGCAAGTAACTTACGTTCAAACTTATAACCACCTAGTAAGAAGGGTGACAATTTCATCTGACTGTCACCTTTCTTAATAGGTGGTTATAAGTTTGAACGTAAGTTACTTGCTATTTAAGTGATAGGTAAAATAGATGATGTTTATTGAATAAAAGATAATGGGTATTTATATGTTTTTACAAAGGGCTAAGTTATGATTAATAATAAGAAGTATGACAGCTTCTTAGTCAGATAATGTAGAGAGTGTATATGTTAGTTGCTTTATAATCCATTGTATGTTCTGTGATTTATAATATTTCAGGTGTTCTTTTGATTGCTAATGATCCACATGATTTGCTTTATAATTGTCCATTATATCATTTCTTAATAAGCTTGACTTGTACAACTTGATAAAAATAGGCGACATGACCTTTAAATCACAAAAAAATTAAAATTATGAAAATGCTCTAGGCGAGGGTCGAACTCGCGACCTTTGCGTGACTTCAAGTATAGCTATAGACTATAAGCACAACGCTCTAACCAACTGAGCTACAAGAGCATATGACAGTTGTAATTTAGGCGGTAGATAGAGACACAGAGTAGACGAGATTAAGTTGAATAACAGCAGTGACTTTTATATAATTTAGAAGTCCAATGGCAAATAAAAGTAATAAGAGATTTCAGTTGAAGAGTAGTAAGTTAATGAGTTTATTTCCTATGCAAATCAATGCATATTTATATGTTTTTGAATATGAAATATAAGATGATTTTGATACAAGTTGATGAGTAATAGAATATGATAATGACTGCATAGAAATGGATAGAATGATGTGATATAGAATAGAATAGTACAATAGGATAGAATAATATGATAATGGATAAATATAACGATGGAAGTTGTGATTGCACAAGGAAGAATATTCGAGTAGAAGAAGACCAAAAGAAATGATTATGAAGGAATAGCATCATATGAAAAATATGAACATATGCAGATTAAGGGAAGCATGTTCATAAGCATGGCTAACATAAACAGTATCATTGTGTGATCTTTCTTCTTGAACGCCTATTGGCTGGTATTTTTGGCTTGAATTTTCTCTTGTTGATTCTCACAGGCACATGTGGCCACAAGGGTTCCTTATTGAGCTTCACCCCTTCAGGCACACCGACATTACCCCCCTCTAAGACTTGTGTTCGACCCGGAACACTTATAGGCATAGCCACAGGTACAGACAGAGGAAGAGAGATAGGAGCAGGAACCAGAGGAACATCAACCGTAGCTGAATCAGGCGTATCATTCAGGGAAGGGGTAGGAGGAGACACAAACAAAGATGACATAGGTGACATAGATACAGGCTGTTCTAGAGGGGTGGACATTTCGGGAGCAGAAGGGAGACTTGACATATCAGAAAGAGTGCGAACCATAGGCATATTAGGAGAGTCATGAATAGAAGGCATAGATATGTTAGAAGAACTGTGTACAGATGTTATAGGCGGATCAATTCTTGGAGAGGTAATTACTTGAGAAGACACTATTGGAGAGGAATCATTATCAATCATAGGGGCATAATCGGCAGCAGATTCAAGTGGATCAATAGGGTCAACGTCATAATTGGGCAGGGCCACTTCGGGAGTAGAATTATTGGACATAACATAAGGGGTAGTAGCAGGCATATCATTGTTTACTTCTTTCATAACTTCTCTAACCTTTCTTCTTTCAGCAGTTGGGTCATACCATGGCTCAGCAGGAGTATTACCATTGGCGGCAAGCAGACGATCAACATGTATAAGGGACTTCAAGGGTTCACCAGCAACAGTATGAAGTTTTACAGTTCCATATTCAGGGAAGACTTGAACAACAACAAAGGGTCCTTTGAACCTAGGTTCTAATCCAAAACGACCTTCGTGAGTCAGCATCACCATATCACCAACCTCATAAGTCTTCTTCTTTATTTTGGCATCCCAACGTTCTTTATCTTTTTCAGCCATTGCCTTCATTCTGAATTCGGCTGCAGCACGGTGTTGACCTAATTCAGCGAGTTCACGAGAGGTAATATCAGCAATGGTACGAGGATCCTTTAGACTTTCTTTATTAATGTATGGAATAGCTGTATCACCGGGAATTCTGGGTTCACGACCATACGTCAGGAAGAACGGAGAGTAACCAGTTGTAGCATGCACACGAATACGACAAGCCCAAAGGGCAGCATTGACGAAATCGTCCCACCTATGAATTGCACCATTGGCATACTTTCGAAGCATATCCTTGAGTACACCATTGAAACGTTCCACCTTAGCATTGGTACGGGGGTGATAGGCTGAAGTTAACTTGTGATTCATCTTGACTCTTTTGGAATAGGCTTTCAACAAACCACTTGTGAAGTTTGCACCACGATCAGTTAGTATCTCTACAGGACAACCAAATCTCATCATGATCTCTTCGTATATGAAATCAGCCACAGCTTCAGTGGATGCAACCGGGAGGGCACGAGCAATAGGCCAGTTTGTAGCATAGTCAACCGCCACAAGTAACCAACGATTACCGTTTAAAGTTGTAGGTAATTCACCAATGAAATCAAGATGCCATCTTTCAAAAGCGGAAGGGACCTTCAGTGGATGCATTTCATCATTATGGAAGTTACCACGTCTTCTATTCACTTGACACCGAGGACACACAGCTAACCATTCCTTGACATCAGAACGGATGGTCGGCCACCAAGCACGAGGAGTAAGGATCTTCATCATATTGGGAAAGTTAAAATGACCGAAGGCTTCATGAAAACCAGCTACTGTTTCACCACGGGAAGCAAGAGGAACAAATGGAACGAGCTTGACAACCTTCTTATCATCACCAATAGACACCTTTCGGAATACCTTATTGCCATCAATCACAAAGTTCTGTTTTTCTTTTTCTAGGTGATCTCTCAGAGCGATGTTAGACAACTTAGAAATGGCATTGGGGTCACCAAGGTAAAGCAACGGCCAATCAGCTTTCATGTCAGGAGAAGACCACTTAGGTGACTTGTTCTGAAGAGATGCAGTATACAAGTACAAGGGCTCAAGAGGTTCTTCATTGTTATCGGCAATACCAGGAGGAGAAAGGCGGGAAAGAGCATCCGGTACATCATTGTTCTTTCCAGGTGTATACTGAATATTAGGGGCGAATGATTCCAATTCAGTAATCCACCTAACCAAACGAGGAGTTGGCTTTTCTTGGCTTCGGAAATACTTAAGAGGCATGTGATCAGAATACACCGTATAACCACCAGGACAGCCATCCACAAAGCAACGCCAGGTACGCAAAGCATGAATGGTACCAAGAAGTTCTCTTTCCTGAGCAGGATAGTTACGTTCGGCGTTAGATAGCTTCTTGGATTCATAAGCAACCGGGTGCCATTGTTCATCTTTATTGTTACCAGGTTGGAGCAACACAGCACCAATACCAAAATCAGATGCATCGGTTTCTATTCTGAATGGCTTATTCATATCGGGCAATTCTAGAACAGGAGCGGAAGTCAGCAAAGTCTTGATCTTGTCAAACGATTCTTGACAATCTTTTGTCCAAGTAATACTTCTTTTCTTGGGTCCAGTACCACGGGTCAAGTCAGTCAATGGGGAAGCGATGGCAGCAAAGTTCGGCATAAAACGACGGTAGTACTGTGCAAGACCAATAAAAGAACGTACTTCTTGGACATTGGTTAAGGGAGGCCAGTTCCTGATGCTAGTGACTTTAGCAGGATCAGGTAGGATACCTTGAGGTGTGATCCTGTATCCAACAAAGACTAATTCTCTCTTTCCAAATTCACACTTCTTCAGATTACCAATCAGCTTAGCTTTCCTCAGAAGTTCCAACACATGCTTGACATGTTTCTTGTGTTCAGCTTCTGTCTTACTGTAGATCAAGATATCATCCAGGTAAACCAAAGCAAACTTATCCAAACAATCACCGAGGACATTGTTCATGAGACATTGGAAAGTTGGAGGGGCATTGGTAAGACCAAAAGGGAGGACAAGAAATTCATACTGACCATAACGGGTGTTGAAGGCAGTTTTAGCAACATCGTTAGGATGAATTCTTACTTGGTGATATCCACTTTTTAGATCTAGCGAGGTGAAGTATGATGAGCCTTGGAGTCTGTCCAAACATTCATCGATTCGAGGCAGA